GACAGAGAAAGAAACTTGTGCCCACTTTCCTTCTACATAGGAGACGAAATCTGTGTGAATCACTGCTGAAAGCATGCAGGTTTTATTTGACCAAAATCACAGCCCTGAGGCAGTGGCAAGAGGTGATTGCACTGGTCAGGTCTAGTGGAGGTGTAGCTTGCTGCTGTGGTTGGACCTTGGGCTTATCTCCAGCACTACCCTGACAGGCAGTAGCTCCCAGATGTCAACTGAAGAGAGTAACTCAAAGAGGTTTCTTCCTCTCATTGACCTTTATAGTCAATTATGTCAGCTTTTTATGAGAAAATAATAGCGGTGTGAAATCTGCCTTCTGATTCGTATGAGCAGGAATTGGTGGGCAAGATGCCCGAAGAGAGCCGGGCTCTGTATCTGCCTCTCTGATACCAGATCAAACTGGGCATCCCATCAGCTGTGCCTTCGACAGCAATACAGTTGGAGTTAGGGGGAAGAGCTGAGGTATTCTGGGCAGTCAAATGCCATCATAATGGTGGGGAACCTCAGAAGGATCTCAGAAATCTGTATGAATAGGTAAATGTGAGCGTTGGTGTAATTGACCATAACAGATCTAGAGGGAAATAATCTGAGCCATCTCCACATGTGCTGAGCTTGGACTAGGCATAGTTGGATTTGCTCTTGGCAATTCTCCAATATCATCAGTTCTATGTGCAGTAGCAGCCAAAAAAAAGCTTGCACAAGACTGGACTCCACCAGGAAGAAGGAAGACCATGGAGAACCAGAGAGAGATATTTTGCCTCCATATGAGACCTTGGAATACCCCCGAGCTGGGGCAGGATACCCCTGGTTGAGGGTATGGACTCCAGGTGTTTAGCTTTGCCTTGCAGCCGTAGACAGCTGGTGCTGCTTTTACACAGCAAATCGGGGAAAGGAGGGGTTAATCTTGGCTTTCAGAGAGAGGGCAGCCAAGCCTGGAGACAATACCGTAGCTTACAGCACTCACAGAAGCTCTGACCAGGAGAAACAGGCTGTCATTAGTTATTAAACCCCAGAAGGCAGAAGAATCTTGTCAAAAAACAAGCTCTGTGTCTGCATCTGTAGGAGATCCCAGAGGCCTGGTGGGAAGTGCTGCATCTTTCCCAAAAGATTCAGGCTGAGCGCCAGCCGCTCCACCACTGTTGAGGTTTACGTGATGCGACTGAGCCGAGCAGAATTGCAAGCAATGTCTTTTAGGAGCAAAAATGACATGTTTGACCATCATGGGGGGTGGGGGGAACATAGCGAGGAGGTCTGTGAGCACTTGATTAATGAAGTATTCCCTGTAGAGAGATCTGCACACAGCTTTCTGCCAAGGACCTTGGCAATGCCAAGAATGAGGTGTGGGATCAGCACCTCTTCCAGAGCTCAGGCAATACAAATCTGGCAAACACAGCCAGCTTCACTGATAACTTCCAAGGGAAATTACACTTATCAGCACAACATGTTAGGCAGCAAAAGTTAGAGCAAAGAATGGTGTTGGGTGAATAGCGTCTCAAACCCAGGTTTTAATAATGAATTCCAGTTTGTTTCATGACTGGGGTGAGGAGGCCAGTCCAGACCCTCCCCTTCAGCTAGTTGCCAGTTAGGCTGGAGGTGCATGTTCCAACTGATGTGTAGCAGCAGATCCAAGTCAAAGGCAGCATCTGGGACCACCTGAGCCTCTTGCCTACCTTCCATGGATGCTGTGTACCTCCAGGCAGGTACAGCAGATCTGTGTGTGACTCCTTTCCCAGCACATCATGTTTTTGGCCATGTGCTCTCAATTCATGTTCAGGTCACCTTCAGCAAAGAGCTGAAAATGTCTTTAGCTTAGGAGCTGGATCACAACAGGATGGGCATCCCTGATTTTAGTGCTTGATGATTGGAGAAGTAGCAGCTTCCAGCCACCTGGTTTTGATCTGCTGCTGTAAGTTGCCTGGAGCCTTTCAACAGCCTGAAGTTTTCTCTTTGTGTGATGAACTTGTCCTGGTTCATTTACACTTGGTTGGCACTGGCCTCCAAGATGGGCTGTGAGCACCAATGCATTCCTTGGGGGGGGAGAGAAAATCTGCTTTGACTTCCAGGCAGAGATAGTGATTTTATTTCTAGAAAATAGAGCTATAAACTCAGCTTATGCCAAACAAACACTATGCAATGTCTGTATTAAGCTGCGGTCAGGGGAGTTATGTCAAAAGAGGATGATACTTGTCACTCACCTGTCTGAGTGATGGGAAATGCTCTTTTCTTCACATATTGAGTGCGTGATTTTCACTCTGCCTGCATCCTTGCATGACTTCTTGCTCAGATGAGTTCTGATCCCAAGCCTAGAGAGCTCAATAGAGAAACACTTCCTTTTCAGCTCAACACACAGATCTGTAGCAGAAAAGAACTATGAATAAAGTTCCCTAATGGGCAAATATAGGAATGTACTTGGGGTAGTTTGTGCCCTCAATAGGGCATGTATAGCAGGGAAGAATAAGGCAAAAAATCATGTCTTTAACTGTCCGTGTACCTAACAGGTGCCTTGATGGGCACATTAGAAACCTGATAGGTAAAACAGATGAGCAGAAGTAGCAGGCTGCTATATTACATAAAGAGCAGCCACAAATTGCAGGCACAGGAAAAGGAAAGACAGCTTAAAAAAAAATTGTAGCTTAAGTATCCGTTTCTGGACTGGTTCTTGTGATGCTTGCAAACAGATAGATCATTTGAGTCCAAAAGAGATGAACTATTTATTTAGCTTGAAGGTTGCCCCCAGCAATTGTGAATCGAAGGTTATCTAATGTCTTTGCCATGGGCTCTAAGGGTCTGGACAGTTAGCATATACAAGGGAATTACTCACAGATAAGCATCCAGTAATTTATACAGAGCATTCCAGATAGAAACCTCTTCCGTATCAATTTCTGCCTGCTCCATAAACTGCTCCCATTTATCAAGCCAGATAAATTCACAGGCGGGCAATGAGGGTGTGCTGAGATCTGTATGTACTTTGTCAGCTAAAATTCAGAGATCCCTTTGACATGATTGGAGTAAATCTTGCTCTCCTTTTCTTTGATTATGACCAGTCTATAATCTTCAAGGCTAAACACCATTCCCATGAATGAAGAGTAATACTGAGACATAGGGGGAAAAAATCATACGTACAGAGAATGCATTTCATCTCAGTTTGGAGGTAATGAGACAGTTTAGTGTGACATGTCATTTAAAACCAGCTTTTTCTTTCTAATAGATTCAGTATCCCTGAAGAAGTGACTGACAGAGCAGTGCATGACATATTTCTCCCAGGACAAAAAAAAAAAGGAGGTTGACACAATAGGGGAAGCAGCAGAGTCATGGTGATCTTCAGGAAGACAAAGGGACGAGTCCTTCTCCATCAGGTAAATAACACAGAGCTGCACAAATTAAGCTGAAAGTTTCAAACCCAGTTTCTGTTAGTGCTGAGGGTGCCCCATGTCCTTTAGCTGCAACGTGTCAGAGGTTCTCTGCCCAGCTCTGCTACAAGGGCAGCCCCAGCAATATGCCCTGAGCAGTAACATACCACAGGCTCTTTTCTTTCTTTCTTTCTTTCTCTGGGCTTTGTCTGTAACCTGCTCCCGTTTGACAGAAAATTCCTACTCCATGGCTGAGAAAATTCCTTCTTCCCTGGGCTGTGGCTGCTATGGGAATATCAGCTGAGGGAGTGTTTGAGGTATTCTTTGGCTGGGGAAAATCTACCGAGACCGGGAGTCTATTGAGGGCTGGGTGGTTCCCAGGAGCTTCATTCCATGTAGGCTGCCAGCAGCCCACCCCAAGCTATCCAAAAGGAATTCACAGCTGTCTGCTCAAACCAGACAGATGCTTCATTCCATTTGACTGTGAGGACTTCAGAATGCATTGCAAATGGAGACAGATCCTTTCTTGTATAACAAAGGTGTATCATCATGATCCCAGATGTGAGAGATGTTGCCACATACTTGGATGGAGTCCACACACAACTCTCGAGGGGGGGGGGAAGAAGAGTTAAAAAGAAGAGGCACATAATGAGTCCTGGCACGCGTGTACTCAAGGCCATCTGTTAATGTGATCCGCTGCCAATTTGTAGAGCTAGGAACCAGTCTCTGCAGGTCACGGATGCCAAGATGAGATGGGTTTAGAAAAGGCACTTGCAGAATGTGCTAATGGCCACTGTTTATCAGAAAAATCTTCCTCACAATGAATGCTACCGAAAGAGGAAAGTGCTGTTGGCTGGTACCTGGGACCACATCAATTGATAACAGGTACAGTGTTCCTGTCATTTCCTGATGCCTCTGCTATTGCAGTGGAAAACAGAAAGTTATGAACCTTGCAAGCACAGCAAGAAGTGAACTTCTAACCAGCTACTCTGTAAGTTATTTCACTATTTTTACTTCTGCTACATGACTAGATTCTCCTTCGCAGTGTGAGGCTGGAAAGGAATTGATGTACACCTGAGCTTCCTTAGGAGCAAGAACAACACAGCTTACAGGATGGATAAAGAGATGTTTTCATCTGTGGCAAGCACAAATCCACCCATTAGCCATGTCTGAATTGTCACTCCTCAGAGCTGGAGCCTTCCCTCCTCTGCTAATCTCCAAAGTACCAGACCTAACCTCAGGAGACAGCCAAATAAGGAGGAATGAACCACAGTTACAGCTACCAGTTACCTTAAAAAAACAGCACATTGTTGATAAGAAGGGCCCTAAGCAAATCAGATTCATTTCCTAATCAGTGCCTGGTAATGTCATCATCATTCATTTGCATAAGCAGGATGTTTTATGCATTGTTTTTCTTTGAGCAGGTACCTTCTCATTCACTTGTGCTTGCTGATGTGCTCTCTTAACCTGCCACAGGCTTCCCCAAAGCTAGGGTCTGTGAATGCTTCTCAGATGATAATGAGCGGTATTCACCCTCTCTGCATCCTGTTTCCAACAAAGACTTGAAAAATGCAACCTGGTTTTTTATTTTCATTTATTTCTTCCACCCCAGTTTTATCTCTTTTTCTTCTTGTTCAGGTTTCTGGCTGCATGGAGGGCAGGAGCTTTTTATCAAAAGACAAGGAGTCGTCTTCTCCTTAGGAAATGTTTATGTTCCTTCCACAACACCAAATTGAGAAAACAGATTACCTCTCAGAAAGCCATCTGTTTCAGCATCCTGTGAGCTCTCAGGTTGGTTCTCGTGTTTTATAAGACATTTGAATCCTCTTGTGATTTCTCCCTTTCACCTGTCTGCCTGTCATAAAAATTATTCTGAAGGCTCGCTGCCCCCATCCAGACATTTCAGAGCCTGAGTTTCAAGTGTCATGTTAGGGTTGCATTATAAAAGCAAACAAACAAAATCCCACCCCGACAAACAATCCCTTTCTTCGATGCTCTGGGATTGATAAGCGCACACTGATGGAAACTGCATGAGAAAATGAGAAGAGGGGGGAACTTCTGGAAACTGTTTTCAATGTTTTATAGTAAACCTACATTTTCAGTCCCTAAACCATTAGTTATGAGAGATATTGTTTTCCATAGGCAAATCTATAGCTTTCTAGTGGAAAACTGACATTTTGGGAAGATGGCCAACCTATTATATGGAAGAATATGCTTTGAGAACACAAAGGATTTTTCAGGGAAGGGATACAGCCTCCTCTGTATGCAAGCAAGACATGCCCCCAGCTCCCTTGTCTTGCTTGCATACACAAGCTTAATCTTGGAATAAGCTCTTACTGGGGATGTAGAGCTTCTCCTTACAGTCCACTTTGAGTCTTAGAAAGTTCATTAACTCCAATTACATTTTCTTCAATTTGCTCACCCCCCCTCTACTCATGTCAGAGCCACTTAGTCTCTCTTTCAAATCCAAGTGGACATAAGGTGGACTAATGCCAAAAAAGCACTCACTGTGTACCAAAAATAACCAGTAAATAGCTTTCTCAGCTTTTCCAAAATACATTTCTTATGTAAAAATACGGAGTGTTTAAGGACCATATGCTGAAAATACAGTTGTCACATAGAGATTACGATGAATATAAACACGTTGCTTATTTTTGGAGTCATTAGTTGATGCGAGGGACATGATAATGGGATACAAACTTTTCCCCTCTGGACTGTGGGTTACACTGTGATTCAGAGAATTAGTGACTAAAGTAATTACAGCCCCTATCTGTTTGTAGTGTAACTAAAATAGGATTAAGCTTGTCCATCCAACTCCAAATAGACCAGTGTCTCCATTACCAAAGCCACCAGCACAATCAGCACTAATGGACATCTCCTCCTGAAGATATATGGCATGTATGCATCAATTTTCTCTGCAGAAAAGTTATTTAATTGGTAAGTTTTCAACCTGGCACCTAATTGGGTCACTTTTCACTGCAAGAAAGGCTCAGAGTAATGTTCTGTAGTGCTGTGAGGAATAATGCAGCATGAATAAGGGAGAAATAGAGAGGTTTTCTGATCCAGGGGAGCTGGACACTGTTCCTACCCCTGGTTCACCACCCTGGGCAAACTCCATCATACTTCTGGGGCTGTCTTCCTTCATAGCCTTGCTTTCTTCACATCAGGCCAGGAGCTATTTGCAACAGAGACCCTGACGCCTTGCACATCCTTGCTTTCAAATATATGTTTGCAGTTCACCTTCCTCCTGTCTGATTCAGCAACAACAGCCTAACAGGGCCATTATTTTCATCTCTAATTGAATGATTTCTCTCTCTTCCTTCCCCATATTTTTTTAAATGATGTCAGTGAAATCAGCACTCAAAAAAAAGAGATAAATAGATGAGCTGAAGCATCCTGAGCCAAAGAGCCAATGCTGTTATTTTCAGCAGGGTCTCCCATGGCTCAAAGCTGCAGCAGGCAGGAGGTCCTGGAAAGTGCCCCACCAAATCCCAATGGTGTGTACAGGCTGCTAGTGGTTCAGTGGCTGTAATAACCACAAGTCAGACAATAGCATTTTACTTTGCCTGAGATTAAAAATCCATCATCATACCTCTGCAGCCCTCGCAGCCAGGGGGATGCCGGCACTTCGATTAAGCCACGCTGGGTGGTGCCCACATTATTATCTGTTTCACAGGCAGAGAAACTGAGATGCAGAGAGATTAATTGGCTTGCTCAGATGAGGTGAGACTAGGGAGCAACCCCAGAAGTGTAATTGCCTGCGCTAACTCTAATTGCCAGCACATATATTCACGTCTGGGAGAGGCATCTGGCAGAGCAGGGGATGTAGAGGCTTCCCCAGAACAAAGCAAGAAGCTGTGACTGTGGGTACCAGTGAGGTAGGAGACAAGGCTTCTCCTTCTGCATCATGCTATAAGCCTCAGAAGCCTTGTTCTGGGACTGCCTGATATCCCAAGCATTGTTTGAAGTATGGGAATAACAAAAAGCATCCATAAGCTGAGCAGCCAGTCCTCTGCCCCATCCCAAGCCCATGCTCTCCAGGCTGCAGCCATCATGGTATCACTTTTGCCCTTCTGGAGCAGTTTCAGAGCCGCATCAGAGTTAATCTTTTGACTTAAGTGTTTTGCCTCCTCCCAGGTAAAAGAGAGGAGGTTTTGTTATACTGGCAGGATCCCGCTGAGCTAAAAGTAGCATAAAACCCTCTCACCTTGTAAACACAACACAGCAGAAACCGGGTGTCTTTGGGAGAGAGCTGTCAGCCCCGCAGCACTGCCACTGCCCCCCAGGCCTTTGTGCAGGAGGGGGTTTAATGCTGCTTTGGCAGGATAAGGAGCTTTTGTCACTGTTGTTAAGCAAAGCCAATCATTGTGCTGCTGAGCATCTCTGCAGGCTACAAACACACCTCAGAACCAACACCATATCTAAGCTTACACTTTCACTTAAGGGAAGCTTTATTCGTCGTTGCTGAATTGAGGTAGGAAGAAAGGAGAGGTTTTCTCTTCCCGTTCAGTACCAGATAATGGAAGAGGCAAAAGTGAACATCAGTCCCTTGTCCACAGCAATAAGAAGTGATGGACGGTGGCTCCTCAGTATCCCAGCGGAGAGCTGAGGTCACTGGGAGTTTTGCAGAGGTTTGTCCCCATCTGAAATGCTGAGTTTCGCTGTGTGAAATGTATTTTGCGAGAGCCCTGCTGCTGTTGCTGCAGGGGCTGTGACAATGCAGGAGTGTTGGTTTTCATTGTACAGTGTTATAATGAATGAATCCATCGATAGCAATTAGGGCAGTTGTTTTATTGATTGACATCCCAGGGCAAATGCTACATTTATTGCCAAGAATAAAACATACTCCACTATATACCCCAATAACCACAGAGCTATAACTTGATACTATTAATGTAAGACAAGGTAAATCATGGCACTGCCTCCTCCCGTAGTGCAGCTCCATGCACAGCAATACAAAACCTCCAAGAAGATGACATTTGTCTGTCTGAGCACAGCAGCTGGAAGTGCTGTATGAAGTTTCTCAGGGACTTTCCCAGACACCAAAACATTTCATTATGTGATTTTCAGTACCAGGTTTTTCAGAGGAACTTGTTCTTCCCTTTCACCTTTGCAAACTATTTCCTCTCCTCCCTCTGCCAGCAGTCCCCCTTTCTTTCACTACTGTTGTACAGGATTTGATCCCCATTCCCTTCAGCTTCCCTTTCCATTGGTTTCACAGTTCCTGATTTTCAGTCATCCATTGGTTTCACAGTTCCTGATTTTCAGTCATCATATGGTCTTGACAATTCTCATTTCTACTTCTCCATTCTCCCAGCTGCCCCTCCATTCCCCTGTAGCTGCTTTGGCATAGCCTCTACTACATCCCCCTGACACCCGACATTCAGAGCATCCTATATTTTGGTTTTTTTTCCTGCACACTGCCTTTCTTCACTGTCCATTCTACTTAGCAAGATATATCCACTTGGCAGGAAAATGGAGTTCTTGATTTGGGTTTGTTAATTGGAATTAGCCATCCTTGACTTTAGCTCAGGTAAGCAAGCAGTTTTCAGCTCCAGGTTTCTCTGCAGTTTCTCTACCACTCTCTTATATCTTTTTGGTTTTTTTTCCTTCCCCTTTTGCTTCTTAACTTCTATTTAGTGAAACCTCTTTCCCTATCTGTCAACACCCTTCACTTCCCACAGAGCTTTTTCCCATAGATGATTCCTCGATCTGCTCTTCCACTGTCCTGCATCTTCCTTGCATCCCTTGTCCTGATTTATCTTTCTTCACAGACAACAGCTTTGTAGAGGGACACTCCTTGGAGGTTTGCACCATACTATGTCTGCAAGCTGCTCAAGAAGTGGTTGATGTATAGCTGGAGCCATCAGCAGCTTTTCTTAGCAGTGACAAGGTGAAGGCTTCTGAACACCACATTCCACAGGGTTACCTTTGCTGAGAGCATTTGCACTACTTCTCAGGGAATTAATTTAAGTCAGGTTTCAGCAGGGCTGTGGTGGAACCACAGGATGCATGCCAGCTGCTGCACTAATCGGCAGAGGAAGGCTCCTCTTGCCAAGCCGTAGAGCCTCCTGTCCAGGTTGGACTTCATCTAATTGCTATGACGGACAAAAGAAATGTGAGAGCATCAGCGTTTTGCTGTGCTGTATACCAGGGCGAGCCAGGGCTATGCACTGCTGTTTTACTCTTAGGCTACTCCTCACAAGCCAGAGAGTGGAAGACAAAACAACAAAGGGAAAATGCTGGGAATCTGATCAGAAGAGGAACAACAAAACAGGGTGCAGGTAGCCTCTGAGAAAATTCCAACAGCTCATTGTAAAAACACACATAGAATCATAGAATCATAGAATCGTTAGGGTTGGAAAGGACCTTAAGATCATCTAGTTCCAACCCCCCTGCCATGGGCAGGGACACCTTATGCCCTCCTCTTTCCCTGCAAGAGGGCACCTCTGGGAGCCACAGTTCCTTTATCATGTTGAAGCAGTAGTTTGTTCTTCTTAAATTAATATTTAAAGGACATGGTTTTTTTTTCTAATGTACTTCTAGAACCCAGTGACTCCAAGATTTAGTTGGTAATTTCTTGTGTTGTGGCCCCACAGTCATGCGCTTGAGATGGGGCTATATAGGATGTATATCAGGTCATTTGTGGTCCCACAGCAACTCACAGGTGAATTGGCAAGACTGTTCTTAAATAGTGTGCTAGCAAAGGATAGATGTAGCACACACCAGTGAAACTCAGTTCTCTCTGTTCATCTTCTGTCCTATTTGAGTACCCCAGGCTTGCCTTGTCCTGCCTATGTTTTGGTGTACTGTCTCAGGTCAGGTGTATCTCCTTACCTTCCCATTTCAGCAATAAAAACTCAGAATAAATGCCTGCAGCATCTAATCCTGTGTAATTCCTTTTACTGGTTCCTGCTCAAAGCCACGGGGGTGGGGAATAGCAAGTGCATTTCATAAACTCAGTGCCAGATTTGATGTGTTCCAGCACCAAGCCCCACCTTAGAGTTAATTTCAGTCTCCATCCAGGGCATACTTTCAAGTCCTTATTGAACAACTCCAGCTGTGATTTTGACTCCCCCTCTCCAACTCAGACTGACTTCTGAGCATTTGTTCAGTTATTCTAGATGAAAACACCAAGTTACTCATCCTACCCTTATGTCTAAACATCAATCAGGTTGTAAACAGGTATTCTGAGAGTATTCAAAAACTCAGTCGGAATAGAAATGGGGCATAACAGTAGGAAACCAGTCAAATACAAACTACTAGCACAAGAATGTAGCTAAGAGCACAGATATGAGCAATAAGGAAAGAGATTATAAGTAGTGCCGAGATGTTACATCTAAATGCAATGTCAGTGAGATCTGCTTTGATACTTCCTTCTGTTTGGGCATCTGAAACTCAAAAGAAAGATGTTGGAAAAATTGGAGATAGTTCTAGGAATAATTCAAGATCTTGAAAACATGCTTTATTCTGAGAGGCTTAAACCCTAATCTGTTCAGTTTATCCACCAGATTGCAAAGAGCTCATTCAGTCACCGTCTGCATCTTCCCATTTGGGTTAGAGATTGCTCACATTTACGGTTCTTTAATCTTAGCGCAGTGGGAACTGATCCTGGATGCAGTCAGACTAGCAATATGGTATACTTTAGCAATGCAGGTAAATAAGCCTTTCAACAGCTGACCTATGGATGTGACGAAGTCTCTGTCACTTGAGATCTTTAAATCAAGACTTAACATCTCTTTAGAGGGTGTGCTGTAACGCAGTCAGGACTTACAGGCGTGACTGCAATGTAGCTATTGCTGGAAGAGGTTCTGCAGTCTGGTTAACAAATGCTGTATAAATAAATTAGCACAGTCATTGCTTCGGGCCTTAAAAATCTATTAATACTTTCAATATCCGATTTCTGAAATAATCATGCTTTCCCTTTACAAACCACACGCCTGAGACTGTGGTCAGATTATGAGTTAATTATGCTTGAGAACAGCTCTCGATTGTACAACTGAGAAATCCGAGGCAGCAAAAACCTAATTGGCTTTTCCAAGGGCATCCAGCAAACCAGTGGCAAAGCCAGGCACTGAACTCAGGGGAGCTGGCGCTTCCTCGCTGCATCTCACACTTCGAGCTCCTAATAAAACTGATAGCATCGGGTAAGAAGTGAAAGCCTTTCAAATCTGAAGGGCAGATTTTGACTCAGCACTATCTGATTCTGTGCTGAGGGGAATATCTCCCAGTGACAGCCCATTGATGGTAATTGATGAGCCTGGATCCTGACACAGACGTGCCATATCTGATCACCCCAGCCCTGAACCCGTGTTCTGATGGACAGACTGCTATTTGGGTAGAGGAGAGAGTGTCATGTTCTGGCACCTTGCACCTCAATTTTAACAGTTGAATGGACCTGCCAGTGCATTCTGCTTCCTTTGGACCATATAATTCGTTGCATCTAAGACTGTTCAATTTATTTCCCAGACCCACTCAGTCATCAAAGGTTAAACAGCCCTTGGTTTATCTATTAAAGAAGGTAACAATTAGTTCCTCCCTGCTAACAGCAAGTGAGTTGGAATGGGACGAGGTAACCTTGTCTCTGGAACTTCTGCAAGAGAATGACACAAACATCCCAATGCCTTTGTAGAGCTCCACAATGAGAGAAAGGGATTTCTTCCCACAACACAAGCAGTTCAGTGAACATCTCAAGGGACTCAGCTAAACATCTGCTCTGCATAAAAGCTGGGTGGAAAAAGCTGCAAGTTTGGCAAGCATGCTGCAACCCAGGCAGGTTCCCAGGGGTTGCTTTGTGGAAGGACAGTGCTGGGAGCTCCACTAGTGCATGTCCCAGCTTGGCAAACCCAACGGAGGAGAAAATGTCATAGAATTGGCCTGTCAAAATGACGAAGCTCAAAAAGCTTCCACAAAGCCAGAGCAGTGCAGAAATTCAAGCTGTCAACAGGACACCTGAAGGAGCCTGCTAAAATCTGGGGAGGAAAAAACACTGTTCCCATCCCATAGCACTTCTTCTAGTCTAGACAGGCAAGTCCCTCCCATACGTTTGGTTTTTTGCTTGCTCATTTGTTTCCAGGCTGATTATTAAAGTCCTCTGGCCCCTATGGAGACTATTCCTCAGCTCCCCACAACCTCCCTGATGAGAAGGTGATTTTGCCGGCAGGCCCATACTCTTCCCCGATGCACTGCCATGCACCCACCTGAAACAACTGATCTTTGCCCTTGGTATTTCAAATAGATTTCCTATTAGTACCTTCTTGCTTAGTCATCATTTAGCCAACACAGGGAGCTCTGCCTCATCTGTCACCATAAATCACCCCCTCCAGACCTGAGTATTTTTCACTCTCCTCCTGTGAGTCCTCAGTTTATTAATATCTTCTGAGACGGGACTTTAACCATGTTCTAGTCTCCACTACAGCCTCTGGGGATGACTTCGAAATGATTTGGGGGAAAAAAAACAACAAACAAACCAACCAAACTTGTGGCTGTTACAAATGGCCCCGCTGACGGAATCCCTTAAGATTGTGAACACCTTTGAAACTAAACCCTCAGAGAGTTGCTCTTGAGGTAGGAAAGGGGAGCTTAAAGTGGCATTTCTGACCCAGAAGCTATGGTTTGATTCATTAGCATCCTAGAGCATATTCAGCTCCTCAGAAATTTTAAGTACTTCGAGCCTATGGAATCCTAAAACAAAAGGAAGAGCCAGTTGCTTTTGAAGATCGTGGCATCAGGCTCGCTGTGCCCCAGCCTTCTAGGATGGAGCTGTAATTAGACATGCGTTGATTTGAGATTAAACCCAGTTCTCCAGGAGATTAACCCAAAGCAACAAGCTCCTCAGGGAGTCTCTATCACTTGGTGATAGAATGGGGCACCACGGGGAAGGAGGACTTCAGTCACACACATAGGATTAAGGTAAGTGATGAAATGTCCCAGTCTGTGTTAGGTTGGATGATGCAAATTCCTCTTCTGGCTTTAAGCACTACTTCTCTGTGAATCTGTAAAATGGAGATAGCAACTGTCCCTTCCCCTATTCAAAGACTGCCAGGCAGTGGATGGTAATCAGAGCTTCTCTAGATACATGAGATAGGTAGATTGACTCTGCCCCATGAAAGTAGCCGCATCATTTTGTGCAAGACATGATAAATTGAATGAGAAGGCTCATGCAGCCCATCTGTTAACAGCTGGCCCCTGTAAAGGCTCCAGCAAACAAATGCTGCCAATGAAGTCGTGAGATGATCTCTTTTCACAGAAAAAGAACTCTCTTTCCCTTTTTCCCCTTTTTTATACCAAGGTCCATCGAAAAGCAAAGATACCGTCAGCTTTTTTGAAGTGGTTGTTTTTCACAAACACTAGCTCGCTCGCCTGTTGGCTCCTCAGCTTGTTCAGAATGGGGTTAAATTTAGGAGGTGAAAAACAAAACAGCAACCTGAAAGTGCTCTGAATACACACCAGGACGAATGAGGAGCATCAGATGGCAAAACAGACGACATCTAGTGTTGTCTCTCTCCTCCATCCTCTTTCTGAGCCAACCGATTCCCTCCAAATGACAAAAATACATGCTATTTTTGCCTTCCTGATTAGTTTGTTTCAGTAAATCCCACTTCACAGATAGACCCAGCTCTCTTTAATTAGCTTTGGCACATTGACAACGAGAGGGAAGAAAACACCACAGGACAGTGCCGTCCGGACACACATCGCCAAGCAGTGACAAAAATAAACCATTTTGCTACATAACAGCTAAGTGCTTCCTGACTGCCTGCTTTTATCCCTGTAAGCCTTCTACCTAGCTGGTGAAATTAGTCTGACCAAGCCAACACTTTACTGAACAAAATCTGTTTTTCATCTCTTAGTTACTAAGCCCAGCAAAATCGGTGGCCATTTGGAGTTGGTTTTTTCTTTGATATATTTTCTTCCCCTTCACAATCTCCCCCTGGTTCTCACACACTATAGTATACTCTATCTCCTGCCTGTTCAGGGCAATCTGGTCATTGCTAGGCAACATGTCATCATAAATATTTCATTGGCAAAGGAGCTTTCAGAACTGCAGCCAAAAGTCTTTATCTGGAGCCTCCTCCCCGGTCTGTTTTGCTCATGTACCCTCAGGGGTGCACATGGGCACACACCAGCTCTGGACATTACATGGTGAGGAGATGACCAGGGCTAAGGCAAGCCAGGAGCATCACTATGATCACTAAGGTGTGGGCTGCCCACACAGCATTGTGCCCAACTCAGCACATGGGAGTTGTTGCACCCTGCTCTGTGCAACATCCAAAG